GAATTCAATACGGCAAACAGTAAAGAATAACCTTGAGATGAACTTCACCAACAGGCTTGCGGCGAGCTTGAGAAGTTGCATTCGTCTTGTTCCTGGAGATTCTCCTAAGTGAGACTTCACCAATAACTTTAGATCCTTTCTCAGTCTCCGAATTGACAACAATCCTATCCGGTCCATGGATCTTATAATAGGATAAAACTCCATCCTGCAAGACGAACCACCTAGGTCTCCATCCCTTTCCATAGTTAACCCACTTGTGTAAAATTCCGGATATACCATTCCCAACGATGTCGTTGATCTTGACTTGATCGCCAGCGGATGCAGCACACGTCAACTGAATCACCTCCCTCATAGAAGTTGGCCGTGATAAAGAAGTGAAAATCGCCGGCGTTGACGAGGATGACTCGGTCAAACTGCGATGACGGTGATGATTGGAGTTACTTACAGTCCAATTATGATTGTAACTCCCGCTAGCAGAGCGGTTGAGTGAGTCAGCCGATCTAGTAAATTCCGGCGCCGGCGGCGGAGCCATCGGTAACGGTGAAGATTGGCAATTGTTGTTAATTGTTGGAACACAGCAAAATGGATGCATAGCATATCATACTAGTTTTTCAAAATTACTTTTTATCATATACAACTTCTTCTTCTTTTTTAAAAAAAAAATCTTTTTATATATAATAATCTCTCTATATGAAACAATACAATAAAACCTCATTAAATAAATATTCAGTAAATTAATAATCAAAAATATTTTTTCTCCTCTCCATTTAAGTCAATGAAAAAAATTACTTATTTCAAAAGGATATTAAGATGATATATTTACACAAGATCCATATATACATATGATCTCATTAATATTATAAATTAATAATTTTTAAAATTATAAATATATCTAACACAATTTAGTGAAAGGGATTTTATTGTGTTTTATTTTTCTGTTAAACTTTAAATCTAGTCGAAGTTCTACTTTAACTTTTTCTTATTGCATTTATAAGTTTTGGTATTCTAAAGGTATTGTATTATCTATAATTTCATTGTCATCGTTGTTTTTTGTGTATCTACAATTTCTTCTAGCTCTAAGCCACGAGATCATTTTCACTTGGATAATTAATAATCACATTTATATTATTTCGCTAATCGAGATCATTAATCATAATATCAAATTTATAAATAATTTTTTTCACAAGTTGGTATGTTCATTCATATTCTCAAAGATTTCACCTTTAAATATATTTTTCAATGTCGAAAATAATATCGTGTTGTCTTTTGTTTTCTGTCACCTAAGCTAGGATTGTTAAACTCATAACATTCAAAACATTAATTTTTTTGATCGGTTTCATGTCCCACTTTATAACCTTCTAATATCCTACGATATAACCTGTTCTGACAATATATTTTAAAAACTTTTATGATCCAAGCATCATAAGATTGTATCTCAAAACACTCTATAAGTTAATTTTATTAATTTATCAATTAGATAAAAAAAAATCTCTACGAACTAATAATATTTTACGATCCAAGTTATATTAGAAATGGAGAAAATTTCTTTTAATTATTTTCTCTAAGCAATTCTTAATTTAATATTTAAAATTAATCAAAAGAATAACTACTAAATTTTTTATTTGTCTGTCATATTAAAAAGCGTATAATTCAATAATTTAAATGTTTCTTTTTAAGATCCTTTTTATTTGAAACTTTTCTATAAAAACTGCTATATGATGTATTATATAAATCAATTATTATTTTTTTATAAATATATTTTCTCACGAATATTTTTTATGTTAATTTATATAAAATAATTTGACTTAACGAGTTTATAATTTTATTTTTTATTTTTACTAAGTTAGAAAAATATAATGGGATGTGGAATTTGAAGGCAAATGTGAGTTGTAAATCACGCCGGCGGTTGAGTGAATGGTGGGTGATGCAAGAACATGACACGTGGCCAATAGAAAATGACTTCTTCCCTAATTTATAAGTTTAACTTATTGATTATCAGTTCATAGATTTATTAAAAATTATTAAGATATCAAATTTATAAGTTATCGATTGTTGATATAACCATTAAGATTTGATTTAAAGAATAAATAAGTATAAATCACTTTGAAATATGGTGCAAAACTGCAAATGAGATAGATTAAATTTAAAGTCGAAGATTTTATATACTTTATGACATAAATATAATATATTCGTCCATTAAAAAAAGAAATTGATAAATAAAAAAAAATTCAAATAATTAAATTAATACCTTATTATCTAGAAATTAATAATTTATTTAATTCACGCTATCAATTGCGATTCAATTTTTAACAATTTATTCCGCATATACCATTAATTTAACCGTTTAAAAGTTAAAACATCACTAAACAATATTCACCAATAAATATTTTTTCTCTTATAATAATTTCTTTTACTATTATTATTATTATTATTATTATTATTATTATTATTATAAGTCCAAAGAAACCTGATACGTAACGGATTTGCTACTTTAGGTTTGCCTTTTTCGACCTCCTTTTTTGGAAATGACTCAATAGGTTACATCATGCTTAAATTATTATTTTGTTATTTTAATTTATGTGGTAATATTTTACCAAATAAATTTTAAAATTATGATTTAAATATTTTTAACTACGAAAAGGTGATACTTTATTTTAGAATCGAACAAAAAATATAGCCAAAAATTAAAATAATAAAAAAATATAATTGTCAATTATTAATATTTTATTACGTATAAGTCATATATTTTTAAAACACGTTTTTAAAATTATGATTTAAATTATTAGTATAAGTCATATATTTTTAAAACACGTTTTTAAGTTAGTCAAATACTTGGAATGACTTAAATAATAGGTATGTGGGGCTATAAAAACCTATAAAGTGTCGTCTATTAAGGCTAACAATAATTGAATCGAAGAATTTTTTTTTTTTTAAAAAAAACTTCTTTTTCTTCTACATTTCGTCATCAATATCTTACTGATAAGTAATCAATACTCTCAAAATCCATAAATAAATTTTGAATCAATCCTCACACAAAATTAATATAAAAACAGTAAACTTGTCAAATCATTATTAGTTTATAGTTAGTTAAATTATAAATAGATTTAAAATGGCTGTACAAAAATTAAAATAAGAGAGGTATATGCAATATTTTAAATCATAAGGAGGTGATTGTTATAGACTCGAAACTTAGAGGGGGTTTCTAAATTAATCTCTTATTAAAAAAAATGTATTATCTTTGTGTACTACTAGTACCTTGTTTAATATTCATTTTTAACTTATGTATAACTAATGCTTGCATTAAATACTCTATCATGTATCAAAGCATGTATTACTAATTGTGTAATACCATGAATTTTTACGTATTCGTAATGCAGTGATTTTAATGCATGTATTAGTATGGTTAAAGACTTAATTGCCCTCAAAATCTTTTCTTTTACATCTTTCCCATTATAATTGTATAGAGTATCTATGTAAATATTTTTAAAGTATATTATTTTAATGCATAAATTCAAACCAAACAATGCATAAAAATAGTTTATGTATAGTTAATATACACATAATTAATATACTTTACCAAACGATAACAAAATAAGAACATTGAATTATAAGATACGAAACTTACAAAAATATATGATCGTTTGGATATCTCCTAATACCTATTCACCCTTTGGAAAACATATATAGTGCTCAAAGAGAAATCATTATTATGAATTTAGAGATTCTAAATTTTATTTCCCTTTTGTATCATTGATCCGTCAATCAATTTTGTTAGAAGTTCACAAAGTTAACTTCTTAATTTTCAAGTACAAATACAGAGTCTCCATAAAAATTACTAAATTTGACTGAATCTATGAATTTCCACCTAGCTCCGCGTATGATAATGTTTAAAAATCTTTGATTGGATAGAAAAGCATTTGAAAGCTTATGTCAAAGGGTTTAATGTATGTTGTGGTACATATAAATATGTGTAAGCATGTTTTAATGGAGTATATCGTGCATATGTATAAAATATGTTTTAATGGAGCATATCGTGCATATGTATAAAAAAAATATTTCTTTCTAATTTGTGTTTGAATGTGTTATTTTGTTGTAGCATTTTTAATGTATGTATATGAGCTAATATTACTATTTACTATGGTGCTGTAAAGCTTTACGTCGATGATTAATTAACGAAATTTGATTACCAAACAAATGTATGTGTTTTGTACCTATATCACGTTAATTAATAAAATTATTTAGAAATATGAATTGGCATTCAAATATACCTATCTAACATAAACAACTTATATAGTTAAAAAGTTTTAATTTAAAAAAATATGAACCTCTTTCTTTAATATTTTTAATTCTTTAATTTATTCATTTTGTTTAACATGAGTTTATGCAAGATTTATATAAGATTTTGATTTTATGGTCATAAATTTAGGACTTTTAAGTATAGTTCAAATATGGAAAGATTTGAACAGTAAAGTTATTCGATTTTGAAGTATTAGATTAGGATTTCTTACCTATCACAAATAAATAAAAAATTAATAGCGTCATAGCTTTTAATTACAAAGTTTCAAATATTAAGATAAATTTAATAAGCATGTGTACTTAAACTTAGAAGTTATAAATCTCAATCTTTTTAGAATAATGGACGAGATAAAGCTGAATTCAAAATTATTATTGATTACTAAAACATTAAAATACACTATCATAAATGATCTTTTTACTTGTAACAATAACATAAAGTATTTGACAATACAATGTCAAATATTTAGGATGAAACAAATCATTTGAGCTATTAAATATATAAAAGAAAAAAAAATATACGCTAGTTTTTGCCATAGTAATAATAGAAATGATAATACATAAAACAAAGTAAATGTTCAATTAATAAAGATTCTTTCTCAAGACACAAATAAAGAAAAAATAGTCAAAACCCCCCTTACTAATTAATGTTTTTTTTTTTGTAAAAAAGAAACATCAGATAATTTGACCTTTTAAGACTTGAAAAATTGTAAAAAGTGAAGACAAAACGTAAATCTTTTTCTTAATGTTTGGTTGAAATAATGACGTTTTCTTCAGTAAAGAAAATCAATATACTGCAATCTTAGTTCCTATTTTAAAATAAAATAAAATACAATTTAGAGAAATGACTTTATGTGCAACAGAATCAGCAAATAAAAAGAGAATACGTGAAGTAAAAGTAAACAGAAAAGAGGATAAACTCATTTGATAAGAAGTCACCTAACATGAATCTCTTTTCAGCTCATTTTTCTTTTGATAAGTCCTTTGAAGAAGTCAAAACTGCATCCATGGAATGAAAACAAATTGTCAAACTACTAATGAGCCAAGCAAACATAACCCAGACAATAAGATAGAACGAAAAACAGCACCCCATTGATAGTAGTTATTCGAATCAGAAACGATCAAAACCCCAGTAAGTAACGAAACAACAGCTCATCTTTGTTTTTCTTTACGTAAATTTCCTAAAATAAAGCACACAAGGAAAATAGCACCTTTTTGAAATGTATACGCATTCATCTTTCGCTAAGTAGATTAGATAGTTCATTGGTTATCTGTCTTTTTGCCTTCTATACTGTTTTTCTCTATGGCAAGTGCGCTAGAGAAATAGGAAATCCTTTTTGCAACTCCAAATTTTTACCCTTATCGACAAATACAACCTAATATATCAGCAACTATTACAGTTATTCTTTGACCTGTGGGTGTGAATCACAGTTGTGAAACTAGCTCTGCCATGATGACTTCTGTACTTTTAGCTTTTTCTTGGATTATAGAGGGCGTTGATCCTAGTCGAGGTAAATGAATCATACCCGATTCCAGGGAAAAGGCAAGGAACTTTCAACAGGCATGGTATGAGAAGAAACAGACCAGCCTTAGGCCTATTCAGCGACTCTATAGCTAGCAGGTAGATGATATAAAAAAGTAATTAGGTATTCACCTCATGTATTTATAACTAAAAAGCACTAGTGTTAACACAGCACTTTTAAGCCAAATGGGTGAACTGTATCATTGTAAAGATTGTCTCTCATCCAATCAGAAGGAAATAAGTAGTTTTCAATTTTATTTCCCGGGATACCACTGTAAACTCTAATTTCTAAGACTTCATTGATTTCGGTTTCAATAAAGGGTCCACTTTTTGTCATTTGTATGTTGTAACACTATCCCCATCCCAACTTAAAGATCTTACCTTGATTTTGGCATGGGCGACAAGGTGAGAGCTAAAACTTAGAAATGAGTCCAAAAGTAGAGAATTAACTTTTTTTTTGGAAATTTCGAACTTCATAAAACTGAAGTGGACACGATTACACAAGAAGTTAATATGACAAATTTACATCAGATCTAAATCTGTTGACAGTTGATGAAGTACTCAGGCAGATATTTTCCTTGAAGATAACTGGAATGAGCAGTTCAGGATTTGTAAAGATTGGGAGAGAATCAATATTTAGAACTTTAACTACAGTGAGGCTTGCTGAAATTCAAAATAACTTTCTCTGGTTTGACTGGCCTGAGGGATGGTAAATTCTCTAGAAGCTCATTGCTATCAATCTTTACAAAGGGAAGCCTACTGCAGATGATCATAGAAGGCCTCGGAGACAGATTTAACAAACCAGAGCACCTAGCAAAGTAGCACGCTTTGAATGGAATACCTCACACAATGCATGTATGACTCGACACAATTTACAGCAGAGAGGATATAAGCTTTGTAGTGAAGAGGCTACAGAGCATGTAAATCATATTCTTTTGCATCCCACTCTTTCCACCATCTCTACTGTTCTACATCTCTTCCAGCCTTTGTTTCTTGCTATCTTCTATGTTGATTATTGTAACTAGTGCTTAGAAGTAAGAAAAGAAGACAAAACAGTAGTTTCTAAACAATAAACAAGATTACATAAACATTCAGTGTTTGGTTATCAAGATTCAAGATCACAAGCAAATCAGATTGGTATTCACTTATTAAGTATTCGTCAAAGACGCATTAAAAATGGTTCAAATCAACATACTTCTTTTACCAAATATTGGGGAGATACTATTGGCAAAAGAATTGAAAAGATATGACAGGTTATGCTAAAGATGTTTAGCCTCGAGACAAACCTGTTGCCATCTGGGTGTAACTCACACATTTGACCATCATCTGTGATTCCTAATAAATACCCTGAGGATGTCAAACCCTGAAAGTACAATCATTTGTTTATGTAGCTAATTACAGGGATAAAACAGTTTACAAGAGCAAGGACAACTAAGACAAGTATGAAAATTATATGGTACTAAAAAAACAGGAATTGAAATAAACTTCAGAGCGTATTCACTTCATGGGGATTGATGAGGGGTTCAGCTGAGTGATTATAAAAAGAAAAACAATCATCAAATATCACAAGCATAAACTAAAGGGTGGCACATGTCACATCATGGAAGGGAAGAATCAACAATCAAGGATTCAGTAGTAACACAGATCTTCTACAGGTTCCTTACCCTCTTCACAAGAATAAGAAGTGGTAGCTATTCATGACCTCTCTTTTATCTGTTCAGAGATCCTTCATTAAACACACCCTAGATATCACTTCAGTTTCCTATACTTCACTCTAACTCGTTGAACCCAGTTTAACTCATGTATTGACAAAATCAAATTGAGAGGTTAAAGGGAAAAAAGGAAGATATTTGGTAACTGGTACATCACACTATAACTCCATATTTTCTTAAGAGCACATTATTCCCTAATGTGTATTAGGAGAAAAGTCACCCCTAACAACAACTAGGCCTCTATAGCAAGCAAGTCGGGATTGGCTATGAATCCTCATTGACCATGTCGTTACATGCTAAGTTGCTCGGGTCCTTAAAAAATACACCGTTTTTGGAGTTTCCGACACACACCCATCGACATTTTTGAAGAGTCCGAGCAACATAGGTTCCATGTGAAACTCATCTCAGACAAGCGTTGCGGCTTCTGCAATATAAACAATTAAATAGAAATAAAAAAGACTAAAAGTTCTCTATTTTCAATTGCAAGAAAAATATATTACAAGATTAAGAAGCTCCTAGAAGACACACTACCTAAAGTAATTGTATTGATTCTTCTCTCCATCGTAGCAGTAGGGCCGTTATGCTCATTACTAAACTTTTTGAAGAAGTGAAATATAACCAAGGCATATATTTTTAAGCAGATGCTGAATTAATCCTTTCCCAAATCCCAACTAACTGATATCAGCTATATCATCTTTCTCTTCCATTGTACTCTTATTTTTTTTTCAACTGATTTGCATGGCTCGTAATGGAAGAATATTGATGTGTTTATTCATTTCTAATTCAAGTCTTTGGAAAAATTTTAAGGAACTCATAGTGTGAATGGTTGTTATAAATCCTTTAACAGTTTTAAGTGCTTAAGTGGCCATTAAGGCTTTCAGTCTCCTATTCAGATAATCCTAAGAGAAAGATTGAATGGAACCCATCGACCTAAGTCCTAAACTCAAAAACATCCAAAAGCACCGTCTAAACCACCATCGCATCTTTTTGCAACACTCTTACAAATTGATGAGTTCACAGTACTAATCTGGTGCACTCCTCTTTCCATGAATCTTAACATTTTATCCTGCAATGTATATTATAAGATATACCTGTTGGAGTTTAAATAATACATCGCAGTCAAGAAGCAGCCTAACAAGAAATTGATCTCGGAGTTCAAAAAGACACCATATTATAACCAAAAATAAAGAGTGACGAGCAGTGATACTGAAAATTCAATAAGAATAATACTTTGTTTCTCAGGACTAGTAACCGAAATAGTCAACTCAAACCAACCTGAATGGTGACTACATTTTCAACGAATTGGTCCTGATCATCGCTTCTCTCCTGCACAATAACCCTCTGTCCACTGCATTTACATGAGAGGGCAGAAGAATCACAGTTAATAACTGAAGAGAAAACATCTTGTTAGACTTGAATTCAGCACTCAATAAGAAAATGCAGTACTTCACACCGACTTAACCTGTATAATGGTCGACCAGATTTAACAATAGGTAAGCAGTCTAAAGGAAGAACAAAAAGGTAAATAATTAAAATGAACCATGCGACAACCAGAAGAGTTTACATGTTTCATCATTAGTTGGTTTTATGATAACACATGTAAAATATTTCTACATCTGAATTAGGAATTAACATCACGGACAACATCTGAATTAGGAATTAACATCATGGACAACCACGACATATCAGATTCAAATCTCAGCAAAGGCAAAAAGAGTTGGTAATTTCTTCCCATCTGTCCAAGCCTTGGTGGACAGAGACACATAGTTATATGATACCTATAATGGTGAAAGGTAGCAGGTACCTATGGAATTAGTCGACACAAGCTGACCCGGACTCTAGTCCTCTACGGTTAGCAAAATTAAAAAATAGGGAATAAACAACATGGACCATACATTGATTATGTGATGTCAAGTGTAGCAGGTAATCAACTCCCTCCAGCTCAGAGGTTAGCTTTGCACCTTCTTAATTTCTGGGTATGCGTTAGTATACAGTAAAGGATTCGAGCTCCATCCAACTTCCTCTTTACGTATTTCTTTGGATATCTGAACTTGTTTTACTAGAAAAAAAATGATAACATTTTCACCAGAAGTCCAGAAGAGAGAAAAGAGAGAAAAAGAAGAGAGCCGAAGGCCAGTCGAGGAGGGAAAAGAATAACATATGACCAATTCTGGGAATTTGTAAATAAAACAAAAACATCTGGAGGGTCCCCAAGTATTGTCCTCCGTCCTTCTGCTAAATTTCATGTTAATTCACTCTTACAATACGAGGATCTACCTTCTCCTTTTGATGCGGCTACAACTTTAGCTCCACAGAAGTACAGAACAATTTTTTCTCTTCACGTCACAGTTTTTGGAGGGAGATTGCACTACCATTCACCTCACAGTCCACACGCTTTTGTCCATTTTATGCAGGATGAAGCTGTGCTAATTTTCTGTCATCTGATGGACAAGGAAGGTGGCATTTCTTGAAACAAGTAGTCCCATGCATCTTCAGCTTTGTCATGGCTATCCATCAAACGTAATTCTACCATACAACCTTCCAGCCACCAAAGAACCATGAGACCTAGGGGTGGACATCAGTCCAGTACAAGTACGTTGAAATCTTTGTGCATCATTACTGTGTTTGAATGATACAAGTGAACTACCAAGGCCTAGGTCCATTTTAATTTTGTTTAAAGTCCCTTTTGTGAACAGGACTCAGGAAAATGACACAATCCAGCGATCCACAAGTGTTATATCACACAGTTTTTCTTTACTCATCTAGGAGCAGTCTTGTCCTACCATATGACATGGTAAAAGAATTTGAGTTTTACCTACTTTCTCCCATCAAAAGCACATTCAAGCATAAAAAGAAGCACACGTGTGATTAGAAGTGAATAAAGGATCAACTTTACAGGATTTCTATAGCATAAAGTTCTCTGCTTGGTAAAAAGCTTCAAAGTGGAAGAGTAGCAGCATAACAGATATTAGAATCTAGAGTAACATATAACAGTTTCTACCTGTGTAACCAAGTCTGATAGTACAACTCTTCAAGAGCTTGAAATCCTGCATGCAAACAGCAAAATGTATCACTCTTTTCATTACCATACCACGATATGCAGAAGCTCTTCACCAAGAAATCACTCCATGATTTCCAGGCAGAACGGTTCTAAGATAATCACAAACAGCAAAATGAAGTTGATAATAAACCATAAAACTGAACTTTATGAATTCAAACATTTGCACAAGAATCTAATACACAATGTCCCAGAATACCACCAACACTACAAAATTTCTGTGAATCTCAAAGCTGCATAAGCACCTAATAACCAGGATGGCAAGCTCAACATTAACAACCCCAATGCAAAATATAAAAAGACTATTCTCATTACTGAACCTCCAACTCATTTGCTGACACTGAAATATCATTATTCTCCTTATAGAAAAATCATTATTCTCATTACTGAGCCTCCAATTCATTTATTGACACTGAAATATCATCTTAATGGAAAACTAAGACACCGAAACAGGCCAGCTTAGGAAAAAGCACAGGCAAGTGGAAATAGAGTCCAGCATATGATACATTCCGATATCTTTTTTTGAGAGAGGTAACAAAATGATGAGTTTTGATATTAGCATTGAACTATCAATGGGAAGAAAGGCTGGTATTATTTGATAAACCATTTTTTGGACACGTTTTACGTACAACTGGTAAATTACAATCTCATCACCATCAACAAAAAACTATGCTTAGAATTTCTGAATCTTCCACCAAGAACCAAGTTAGTTTTGCCACTAAAAATATATAAACGGTACATTTACAGTAACAACAAACAAGGACACCTCACATTCATATTGGAAGTTTGCGAACTTTCATTTCACTTTTTTGACATCATCCACCAAGAAGAAAAAGTAAGGTGAGGGGAGGAGAAAGCATTATCTTCCTAGAAACAATTAATGGATACCACTCAAATTACATGGTATGCAAACAACAATATGATATTTGTTTTATTTTTTTAATTATTTTATCTGAAAAATTTCCTATGAGTTAGCAAGCTAACACCACTTGGCCCATAGGTTTGATACTCAGAATATAGACCTACCCTTCTACTTTGCCCCCAGTTAATTTCATGTCAGTAGTGGGGCAGACAACAACATCTTATAGAAAAATGACACTAAAGCACAACAGCAAAACCTAAAGCAAAAAATTGATACTCTAATATTATAACCTTGCTCATATGAACAGGTCTTGCGACACAATAAGCTTCCGTATGAATAGATCTCTGTCACTTTAACCTTGCTCATATATTTTTAAGATTACTCAAATCCATTGCTAAATTATATGATTAAAATCTCTAAATGAATGGATAAAAAGGAGTTAGCTGACAAGTTGAAGACCTACTAGTTGGAGTTTTTTAACACTGGGGTTTAAGGATTTCACAGATATTGAAGATTTTCCAATGTTTAACATGGCTCCCTTTTCGGGTTTAAGAAGTTGAGAGCTAGGTGAGTAACTATTTAGCAGCATTGAAAGTTCTCTTTTTTGTTGTCATGCCCCAAGACTTTTGCTGGGAAAATCTAACCCACTATTTCTTTTCTCTCTCTCTCATGCTTCGTTTCTATTTATCATTGGTGGTCATTAGTTGTTGAATTTATTTATCCAGGAGCTAAATCTATTTAACACTATCTTCATTTCTGAAAGCTAACCACGTGCAACATCGTGTTTTGGTATGTAGAAACTCAGGACCACCTAGACAAACGTAGCTTAGGCTCAACAAAGGCAGAATTAAAGTAGGTAAATCTAAAACCCAAACCAAAGATGAAGTAACACAAAAATATGAAGCTAAATCGGAAGTACTTTGAACTTACACAAGGCTTCAATATTTTATGTTTCTCCCATGTTGATGAGTTAAAAACAAGAGTAAAGGCTATCATGTAAACTACAAAACCAGGAAACAGATAGAAAATGAATGGTTGTTCTTTTGATCTATGAATAACCATATTGATCAACTTGAACTAGCATGCTGAGCATTCCAGAACATCCATATTACTGACTAGTCCATGGAGTTTGTATTTCAATAATTTAAAGTCGGCCAGTATATCCATGATGGTTGAGTAGTTAAAAGGCAAGTTACCTTGTTTTAAGAAAACATCATAAAGGTTCTCAAATTTATTGAAAAAGGCTGCAATGATATCTTCTCTTTTCAACTCACGTGAGAGAGGATTCACTCTCTTCAAAGTAGCATTTAAGCATGTAGTAGGCTTCTCGTTCCCCACATTCAATCCAACTCCTGCGAAGAATTTTTTATCAAAGCACTCCAATGTAATTTCTCCAAATCGATATAGAATGAGAGGAGAAAGAAACAAATACAGATGTTCATCAGTCAATTTAGAATGAATTGAAGAGGGTGCATGAAAGTTAGCTATGTTAATCAAGAGTGCAAGAGTAAGAAAATTTGTTGACTAACTAAATTTATTAAGTTTGCAACATCTGAAACCCCGTCAGCTGGTAATAGCATGCAAAGTCTATAAATTAAAGGAAAAAGTCTGTTCTTTATTTCAAACAGGATGAGAAAATATAATGAACATCAGTGACAGTATTTCCTTTTTTCCTTTTTTCAAGTTAATGAGTGAGACAGTTTACCAGCACTAACATAGAACTTCTTTGACCTATATACCGATGTGCTTAGGATGCCTCCCACTTTAAGGCCACCTAAATAGAGATCATTTGGCCACTTTATTCGAACATCGAGATGTGGCATGCCCTGTAACACATAACGCAGCCAAGAACAAGAAGGAAAAGAAGTTCAACATACCAACAGTTATTCTAAATAAAGTATATGATCTACATGTTACACAAAGCTTCTATGCAGCACACATCTAGTTTCAACAAATCCTGTCCTATCAATCCTCTTTCTTCCATATCTATCCAGATAGCATTTGAAATTGTTCAGATACATACTACCTACAGTAATTATGGCATAATCAAAGCAATTAGGAGTATTATTTTGCCAAATAGCGATAAGGTTTAGGAAATACTATATGTTCATCGATACACCACCAACACATGAAGATAGAAATTATTAATTATTTAGGCAAATCTAAACGAAAACAAAGTAATCAGTAGAAAAGATTGACAGAGAATCTTGTAACCAAAAATCTATAAGTGCTCCATCAAATAAAAAGTTGTATCATCTGAATCTACCTGAAATTTGATATAAGTGCACCCTACAATTCACTGACTAATTCAATGGACCCTGTTAATTATCCAAATTTTCCCTGTAACGGTTATCTCTTTCCTGAATACTTCCTAACAAAAATAACATTCTTTAGGAAATAGGACAATCTCTTTAGCAGACGAATAAGCACTGAGCAATAAATGTCGGCAAGTACTGTATACAATTATTCACAGACCATTCATCAGATAACTGCTTCAATTTCCAAGTATACAAACACAATGACAAAACCATAAAGTACATGAGTAAGAACTAATGCTTCAATTGACAAAATCAGATAGAGCATATAAAACTTACAAAAAATAGTGAGAAAACTTTAATTCATTGTTTAAGCAATGTGGACACATAGTCACACTTATCTCCTTCTTACTTTTCCCATAGATTGATTAAACATTTATCAATCTAATTTCAATTATATGACACCAGCCATTACACATTGTAATATAAGTACTTACCTTTTCCAAACAGATAGCCTTAATGGCCTCTGTCATAGCAAGACAGACTACATACTGCAAATGCGGCACCACTCTACCGTCCTCCATTTGTATTGAAAATGAAAACAAAAGGCAACCCTTTGGTGATTGCCACAAATTACTCGAACGTCCTTCAAAGGAAAATAAATATATAATCAAATCAAAGTAAGATATGAATAAATTTGGGCAAATATGATAAGACCAAAAATTCTTCAATACACAAAATACAATAACTGCAGTTTTTAATTCCTAGTGTACAAGTCATGCATTTTATAAATTATTTTTGTGTATTGAACAATAAATCCATAACGTTAAAGCAATAATGGAGAACGAGACTTTCCCTTCATTGTTAACGGAAAAAGTCACGTGCAAGGCAAACAATGTCAACACATATCTATGCTTTTCTATCTGAAAGCCATTTTTACTAATTCATAGTTGGTGGAGGGAACAAAACCTCTCATTTGGTGTCACAATCCACCTCTAGCCTCTTCATTCAAAATTTAATCTTCTTGCATAGCTGCAGAAGTTATTATTTCTTTATTTCAAAGACAATAAACGAATTACAATTAGTAAGAGAGAGCATAATTGGTTGCACAAATTTTAGCAGATCGGCATGTGCTAATAAGCACTTAATTGAATTGTACCATATAAGTAAAGTGTAGTTCACTGGAACAAAATTAACAGTTCCCGAGCCCCCGATTAGAGAGGGAAGATCATTATGTGAAGTGTGTACAACTTAAAAAGACTTGGGCTTTTAAAGAATTAACAATGCAATTATCTAAAACAAACATAAATCTTCATACCTCTCCCTTTCAGTTGCACATCAGCAACACACACTGTCCCAACTGGTAAGTCAGAGTTATTTCTGCAATATTCAAGTAATTATAACGAACAAATTAACTAAAGTTTTTTTTTTCTCACAATATCAACAAAGTAGATACACATACTTAAGCATACTAATCTAAATTAAGGTATTGGTAACTGAATATAGGGATTGAACAATTACTGTGAAATAACATCATGAGTTGACGACAATTTGGGAGAATAAATGAGTAGTCTCCCAAAACGCTTAGTCGAAAGGGAGTTAAAGTATTCTCCAATTTGAAACGCGTCATCTTCAAATGTCGTTTCGACCTCGGAAGGCAGAATAACCTCAACTTCTTCACCATTTTTACGCAGTTGAAGAGTATTGTTATCCTTTAATACCTTTGCCACATCGTTCTCCTCATTTGATTTTCCGGCGAGTAGAAGAAGAGTCCGGTCAGGTGCTTCCGATTCCATTTTTCCTCCGAGTACTTGTGATGCTGAGTAAGCTTTGAGGTGTGGAAGAGGGAAAATTGATGGAAAATGGGGAAATTTTCGAAGAGAAGCGGTGAAGAAGATGTGTTTGAATTGAGAAATCATCAGACGGAGAAATTAATGCTGAGAATTTAGCTGAGCAACAACTCAAATTTTCAAATGACGAATATTTTGAGAAATAATTTAAATTTTTAAATATTATAATTAATTATCTTAAATTTTATATTTTGTAAAAATGTTCATCGTTTATAGTTTTGGATTGAATTTCAAACCTAATTTATTGTATAAAATTTATATGATTATATATATAATATATTGTATATAGTTAGTATCTTAACTTATTCTACGTATTCACTTTCAATTGCACATAGCAATTATAGTTTTTTTTTCTACACGAATCAATTGTATTTGTTGAAAAAATTCGTAGTAGTTCTGTTTGTTGTTTGATCTTTTTTTTAATGTTTATAATGATATTAAGAGTTTTTAGAACTTATTGATATAAATTGTATTTTTTTTTAGAGTCATCTATTTCAACAAAATTTATAATCAAATGCATGATAAAACTTCACTAAAAATGACTTGTCAATAATGTTTAGAAATCTATGACCAAAATACTAACTAAATTTACACATTTTGAAAATATATGACTATACGTTATAAAGCCTTAGTCCCATACCACCCTCTTTATTGCATTAGGTTTTTAACAAGTCTTGATAGGCGTACTATAACGATTATAAGTTTAGGGGTAATAGTGATGAAGTAAGGGCATGAAAAATATAAAGAAAGAGGAGCGATCAGTCTTATTGCATGTTTCTTGTTAGCCAATTTCTTATATTATGTTGTGAGTATTGGATTGACCAATAATGTCTACCAGTACGTGTGGTTGTACTCAAGGACGGAGCTACCTTCATACAAGGGGGTTCATCCGAACTCTCTTCGGCAGAAAATTATATTAGTTATACTTGGTTAAAATAAGTTTATATGTATATATAGTAGATGTCAAACCCCTTTCAGCTATCTATTTCTACAGATTTTGAACCTCCTTCGGTTGTACTGATACTACTCTTGCTATGCCTTTTTGGGCATAGTCTGGTTACATGATCATTAATGTTTCATAGGTGAAGACGAATGCAATTTTCAACAGCTTCTACTTTTCCTTCTACATGGTATAAGTTGTATCATTTATAATTTTGTTATACCTTGTACTCTTAGTAGCTCTTGTACCGGTATAGATCAGATCCCCGGGATGTTAATTACTTTACAAGTCTTAACTCAAGTTGAAACTCTCATTTTATAAAAGAATCTTATGAATGTTAATCGTTCTCTTTTCTTAGTCTTCCGCATGTCTTAAAATGGTTTGAGAATTGAGGATATCCCTACTTAGGCATTAGATTAGGTGCCCGCACGGCCCGATAGATTGGATTGTGATTCTATTTCTCAAAGTTGAAGAAATAAAATTAGATAGTATAAATAGTTTTCACTCAATTCAAATCATCATCACGCACACGCACACACGCGCACACATACACACACATATATATAAAAGAGAATCCTAAATTTGCCTACATGGTGCCACCACAAATCAAGATTCCCTTTAAATTTATTTATCACAAAAATAGTCTTCCTCTTTCATGAAAATTTATGACATTTATGAAGAGTTGCGACTTTTATGAAAAGTTGCAACTTTTAAGTAAGGTTGAGACCATTTCGAAGGATTAACTTTTTCAAAAAGTTGTGACCTTTACGATAAGGCACAATAAGTATTTGTTCACACTACTCTTTGTTATCTATTAATAGAGGATTCCTCTCATTTTAAAATGATGAAAATTCTGAACTTCTTCCTCTTCTTCTTCTTATGTACAATTAAATATCCGTGTACTTTGCTCCTGTTGAATGACTCACTGACACCATTATTTTTGTATCAATACACTGGATAATAGAATCGTTCCAGATCATAAGAGGATCTATTCCTTTAAACCTCGAATACTAGCGGGGAATAATATCCTTAAGAAGACACGGTACATTCTGTGGACTAAGTTTTTTTCCTTTCTGTTTCATTCTATTGTTACTGATCCTGGTATGATTTTTTACAGTCATTAATTTATGTTTATGATATTAATTGTTCATGCAAATTTTCTCTACTGAAATTGTTGAAGGCACAATATAAAATCTCCTCAAGATTTATACTACCATTTATTGAAGACAAAATTCAAATTTGGTATGTCATTGTAAGGACATAAAGATTTTTATAACATTATCACACCTTGATGTGCGAAGGAAGCTAGGGAAAGAGGTCGGAATAAATTTTTTACATGGGTTCGAGGATGTGTCAGATGACCTATAGAGAAATATTACTAGACTGGAGCCTCTTTTATTACCAAAGAAATGGATAACTATACAATAACTTAATTGCTCATATTCAATATGAAGTATATATAGATTGTCAAGTTTAGTGCATGTAGTAAATACTTTTCGTGAAATAATTAATGTGTTTCTCGATAATGCGATTGAAATAAAAGTGTAGTTTCAAACTGATTTCTATCACTCTGGTATTGATTTTTAAAAAACATCAAAAAATAAATTAATAGATTGGAGCCTCTTTTAATCTCAAATACAATAATAACTACACGATAAATTAATTGCTCATATTCAATAATTAATATGAAGCGTGGACAGATTGTCAAGTTTAGTGCATGTAGCAAATACTTTTCTTGAAGTAATAAATGTGTTTCTCGACATTACGATTAGAAAAAAAGTGTAGTTTCAAAGTGAACTATATCTCTCTAATATATTTATTTTTAAAAACACCCAAACAAACTGAATAGTTTTGTGTAATATTTAACACTTTCAAGTATATATAATAAGTTGAATTGTTGTCCAATATGATATATTTTCCCTTTAATTTTCAGTTTTAATAATTACTTATGATATATTAAAATGGAAAACTTTAAAATGATATATGTAAAGCAAAAGATAGTGCTGAACTTTCTACTATAGAATTAGAATATTTATTCATTTTTCAACCTTTTAAAATTTGTTTATCCCTTCACCAACGATTATTTATTTATTAGAAAATTTAATATCTCAGGTTGACGTTCATTTGATTCCCAAAAATATCAAATAGTAAAACTTTCTAAAAGCAAAAGGATAAATTATAAAATCAAATTATAGTTAATTAATTGAGAATAAATAATAAAATATTATAATAATTATTTTTCTTTACATTAGTAATATTCATTACTATATAATTTTGTATGTAAAATAATATAATGTTATAGTTTTAATGATCAGTAAGTTTTAAGTATTATTTTTTAAATTTTGTAATATAAATTTTCATGTAAGACATAGATAATTTTACTAGTATGACAAATAAAAATAAACGAAGCAATAATAAAACATACCTGTTTATTTTGTGTGTGAGTGCTAATTGGCATGCCATATGAGATATTCTCAAGTTTTGTCCTAGTAATAATAAAAAGAATTTTGTATTTAGTTAATTTTTAGCTTCTCTTGATATATTTTTTTAAAAAAAAAGTGATTTTCATTTTACCTCAATATTAGTTGAATTATTATTCATTTTTAAGATCTACTATAATTGAGATTACTTTGACTTTTTCTTTTATGTATTATTTTCCTTGTATCAGGTATCTTATAAATTTGATGCTACACATTTTTCATTACATTACATCAGATCAAGCATATGTGTCAAATAATGCAAACAACTATCATAATTAATTATATAATAAATTAATAAAAATATTCGTACTTTGCATGAGAAATTTATATTACATAATTTATAAAAGGGAAAAGGGTCTGATTTACCCCTGAACTTTATGATTTGGAGCTGATATACCCTCCGTTTAAAAAATGGTCCATATATGTCCGTGCCGTTATAGAAATGGCCCATATATATCCTTTTACTTAACAAACCAATATTTAATAAATTAAAAATTCATTTCTTTATGCTTTAATATGAGAAAATGCCACGTGGCTCTTAAAATACCCCATCCAATTAATTTTTACCGACCCGACCCAATTGAATTCAAGAAAACCAAACCCCACCCACTCCTAACCCATTTCATTCTATGGTGTTAAAACCTAACAATGAAAATTATCGAAAGGAACAAAATTCTAAAGAAAACTTGCCACACAAGACAAATTTAAATTCACCTGTAGTCTCAAAATATGTTGGGGTTGACCCTCCCTCACCATACATAAATTTCCTTGAAACATTTTCATCAAAATATTAGCAATGCTTCACCAACATCATGTCAAAATGCAGTAGCCTGCGGTTAATCACTAAGGACAAATATTGGAAAAAGGAATAAAGCATGTGGATGACTAAAAAGTTCACCAAATCTACATTATGGAAACATACACCGAAAAATACATCTGAAGATATCAGCAATAACAATCCCACTTGCCAACATAGTCAATAACTTGAACTCATGCAATTCATGAGGAAATACCTACACTAAACACATTCTGCTTTTCATAGTAGTGTTATGAGAATTCCAAATTTCTACTTTGTTGGTCCTACCAGGCCTTGTCACAATTTCTTGGCAAAGTCTAGTACACACAAAGGTTTATTTACCGATTGAATCACAAATAACTTTTTTCTCGAGGAATTAAGATCTCTAAAAGAACAGAAGAAAATGGCCATTTCAGATTTCTTATGCGTAAAAGTGAAGATAACTTGTAACTTGTAATAAAAACATAAAACTAAAAAAATTGCAAGTGACCTAAAAAGCCAATTCTCCCCTTCTTCTCCATATAGTTCACAAAAGTTTGGTTATTGTTCCAGTAAATAAAATTGAAGTAACATCATATTAAATAGTACTAGTCGTTTTTTCGCAATACATGTGAAGCAACTTAGCACTTCTCCGAATTGTCAAGGAAGATTAGGTCACTAGAATAAGTACCATATTTTTAGTAGAAAAAGTAAGACACCTAGCTGACTTCTTACTATTGCCCTTGTCAGCTAAAAGGATCGTCTATGGCTCAACAACGAAAATAATATATGGCCCTTTCTGACTGCCAATTTTCTTGATGTGCCAAAAAGCCTGTTTATCATGTTTTGCTTATACTACTTCACTTTTACATCTTAAGATGCCATGTTAACTACTTTGGTTTGAGTAATTAATTTGATACTCATCTTTTATCAGAAAAATTCAGTACTCGTCCAGTATCAAGCTTAAGCATCATCTTGCAACTATATGCTAAATGCTCATCTAGTCAGTTCATGTTTAAGTATTGTTCAATAATTGTTCCGTTAGGATTTTGCATTGCAAACCCCCTCCCTCCCTCTCAATGAGCCATCCTCTGATTTCCCAGCTTTATTTTCTGCTATCGAATATTGTTCATAATCTTAACTTAAAACTCTCTGAGACTACATCACTAAAGAGAACAACCAAATGAGTAAGAACTTGAACACATCATTGAATCTTGTTGAACTAGACACATTTCAAATTAGTTTGATTTCTACCATCATCTAAAGCTATAAAAGCAGAGAATTTAGTTGGCGAAGAACCACGATTGCGTTCATGTATTAAAGCATAATCATGTCTGAAAACAATCCAAAATAACCACCTAATGTCAAAAAATTATCAACCACACAATGACTTCTAAACTAGATCATCATTAGTATCCACGGGTTGTTTGCCCTTCATTGCCATTTGCTTCACTCTTTTCTTCTTTACTTCAGCTTGTAACTGACCAGTCGTGACTGCTTTCTTTCCCTTCCAAGTAGTCTTCTTTGGTGAATATGGTAGATCCAAAGGGGTCGAGATTCCTCTTGCATCTCCTTTAAAAACAATCTTCCTGCTTCTTATTCCTTCAAATATTCGAGACCTCTTTTCCATCCTTGTTTCTGTCTCAGAAATTACCATTGGTCGTAGTGTTGGATCTTCTTCATTCCCGATCTCAGGACCATATGCAGTAGAGTGTTGCGTCTGAAAATGTTGGGGTGAAGCTTCTATCTCATACACTATAGTGGCACTACATGTAGAGTTTTTTCCTGCTCGACTCCTCGACTCTTGACTGCTTGCTTTCTTATTTATTTCGTGTGAACTCTCACCTTCTTCGTGGTCCTTCAACCAAAAAAAAATTGTTGTTATTGACAAAAATGAACACCTTTAACTAAAAGAAAAAACTAAGAGATATTACCTTATAACATCCCTTAGCATTGTGATTGAAATCACCACACTTGTTGCATCTCATTAGAGTTCCTTTTCTTGACTGCTTCCATGCTCCTTTTCTCAAACTTGCCTCATCAGTTTCTCTATTTCTTTTCATCTTGGGTCTGCCAACAAGTTTTACCATTTCTGGAGGTTCCATTGCTTGAGCAGGGTCGACTTTCCAGAATTGAGAACCCCTAACTGGTTGCAACTTGTGCTTGTATGTTAACAAATAAGCCTCTTTTCTGTACCAGTAATGAACCTCTTCCAATGGTTCCATTCTTTTTATGCAAAAGTGCCTTGATGGCATGGTGACATGGTATTCCACCTAAGTCCCATAATCTACAAGTGCATTTCTTCAACTCCAAATTCACTGTATGTGTGTCCGTGTCTCCATCTTTCACTTCATAACCATAATCTCCATTGAACTCAACTGTACAATTGGTAGCTATTAATCGATAGTCATTGTACAATTTCATAGCCGTTGGACTGATATCATTTTGCTATTTTCTGTCCATTTTTTCATTTTTCACCAACATATTCATCACCTTTACTCTTATTTCCTCCAACATTTTGATGATTGGTTTATGTCTCGCTTCAAGTATCCAACTGTTAAAAGACTCGGTGAAGTTATTGTCTACCATCAGATTCTTACATTGAGTATCAAAATATGCCCTACACCATTTAATTGCAGGAAAATGAAGAAGATCACCAGCTGAATCTTCATCCACCTTTCCTAACACCTTCAAAGTGTCTTTGAATTCTTCTTCATAGGTACTCCATGCACACCACCACATTAATTTTTTCTCTTCACCACTCCGCCAGTTCTTGCACCAGTTAGACTCTATATGCCTCATACAAAACCTATGGTGTGCTTCTGGAAGAACATTAGCTACAACATCCAACAGGTCCTAAAATCGAAAAGAAATAAATGACGGTAAGAAAAAAGATAAAGAAAAGGCAATAAATAAAAAATATATTTTAAAGCTACCTTTTGCATATCGGACATAAATGTCACAGTTTCACCATTTTTAAGCTCCAACGAAATCCTCAACGACTGAATAAACCATGTCCATGTTCCTTTGTTTTCCTTTTCCACCACCGCCCAAGCTATTGGGTAGAAATGATTCATAGAGTCTTGCCCAACAACTACTAATAGTTGCCTCTTACATTTTCCTTTGAGAAACGTTCCATCTAAACCAATTATAGGTCTTAAACTTTTCCATCCATCCTTCAAAGCCTTGAAGCAAATGTACATTCTCAAAAACCTTCTTATGCCTTGTTCAAGTGCATCTTTAGAGATATTAATTACCACATCAGATCCTGGATTTGATTGTCTAAGTTCTTGACCATAAGCTTCAAGCCTATTGTAGTCATCTTTGAAACTGCCTTCCAACTTATCAAGAGCCATTGTTTTGACTCTTTTTAGTTTGGATCTTGAGACATTCAACTTGAACTTTTTTTCAAGAATTCCTCTCATGTCTTTGATAAGGTATTTTGGATCATTTTGAACTTCATCCTTAAAATAAACAGCCAAGGTAAGATAAGTTGCCAATGGATTAACAAAAGAATCACCACAAGTATGCTTAGGCTTCAATGTTTTAACCTTAAATGTTGTTGATTTTCCATCCTTAGATATGAGAAGAGTAAAGGGACAACCATCATAACACTCATACCTGATTCTTTTTGTATCACTTTTTTTTTGTTTTCAACTCTTTTTGTTAGCCATAGCATAAAACCTAACAACCTGCCTTGCTTCTTGTATAGTCTTAAAGGTCATACCCATTTATAATTCCTTAAACTTTTCAAGTCCATCACTCACAACTCTCTCTTTTTCATGTTCATAATGTTGAAGCACTTCAGCATTATATTCAACAATTTCACAATTGTCGCCCATTTCATAAAGGGTATCATCCTCCACATCACTATAATCACAACCAGTAGCAGCTTCAACATCCACAAAATATGATTCGGTATGATATATGATATTTGTGGCAGAAACTCTCAATTCATGAGCATCTATAACATAAAAATTTATCACCTTGAAATCTTTTGAAAATAAGTATTGAAGAGCCTTAATTCCATCATTATCTTCAATTACATAATAAGTACCAGATGGACCAGTGACCAACAATTGTTGAACTTCCCTAAATCCAAATTTGGAAGTAAAAGCTTCACACAGATTATCATAACAAACAAAGCAAGTATTATAATACCAGGTGTGCTGAAATTTTATATTGTATTCCAGCTTTGGATAAATTACCCAATTGCCCCCATAGTTGAAAACAATATACACTTTCTCAATCATCCTGTAAAATGACACCTGCAACAAGCATATAACTTAGACATAATAGGGACCACCTTAGCATTTAACACCAACCAACTGAAAAATGAATTTTAAAATCCTAAAGAGACCATAACTATTTGGGGACCAACAAAGATTTCATCTTTGCATTCAAAGAGATAAACTCATGTATTAAAGTAAGAAAATAAACCTTCCGTGGACAGAATGTTAAGGGGAAAATGCACATAAGTAAACCCAGTTATACTTTTCTTACATTTTACCCTATATTTTTAACACGAGAGATCCTTAAAAGAAAAGGGAAGAAAGTAGTAGAAACTTACATAAGATTTTGAACGATATCGAAATTGATGGACGCCAGTTTAGAGCTCACCGAAACCCTAACAAATTCTTGATTTGTCTTGTGTGGGAAGTTTTCTTTAGAATTTTGTTCCTTTCGATAATTTTCATTGTTAGGTTTTAACACCATAGAATGAAATGGGTTAGGAGTGGGTGGGGTTTTCTTGTTTTCAATTGGGTCGGGTCGGGTTTTCTTGAATTCAATTGGGTCGGGTTGGTAAAAATTAATTGGATGGGGTATTTTAAGAGCCACGTGGCATTTTCTCATATTAAAGCATAAAGAAATGAATTTTTAATTTATTAAATATTGGTCTGTTAAGTAAAAGGGTATATATGGGCCATTTCTATAACGGCAGGGGCATATGTGGACCATTTTTTAAACGGAGGGTATATCAGCTCCAAATCATAAAGTTCAGGGGTAAATCAGACCCTTTTCCCTTTATAAAATGATACTTAAAATCTATCGGTTATTAAACCTAAAATTCTATATTATCTTACACACAAGAATATGTAATAAGAATCACTAACAATGTAAAGGAACAGAAATTTTTACATCTTATCATTTATCTTTAATAATATATACACATAAATTAATGACTGTAAAAATACATCCAGGATTTGTAACATAAGCAATGATGCCTGTTAGCCACTCAACTGGAGCAAGGTGCATAAATATTTAATTATGAAGAAGAAGAAGAGGAGATTCAGAATTTTCGTTTTTCTAAAATGAGAGAAAAACTCTCTATTTATTCTATGAACAAAGGATGGTTCGGACAAATATTTATTGTGCCTTATCAGAAATTTTACAACTAATGGGAAAAGTTGCAACCCTTCGGTTATGTCACAACAACTCTTCATTAAAGTCGCAACTTTTCATTAAAGTTGCAACTTTTTATTGAAGTCACAACTTTTCAAAAAAGTTGCAACTCTTTATAAAACTCACAATTCTTCATCAATATCGCAACTTTTCATAAATGTTATAACTTTTCATGAAAGACGAAGGTTAGTTTTGAAAATAAATAAATTAAAAGAAAATTTTTATTTATGGTGGCGCTACGTAGGAATGTCCAATATTCTCTTTTATATAATTATATGATTTCAATTCTTTCTAAAAAAGTTAAAATAAAATAGAATTTGATTAACATATCACAATAATATATATATATATAAAAATTAGTACAATAGTACATATTAGGCCTACTTCTTAGGCTAGTCCAGTTAACCATTTTTACCCTCAACACAGACACATTAAACCAAAAAAAAAGAGTACCTAGAGAACTGAAACTTTCTTAAATGTTTAAGTTCACAATCTTAAATGATTTATTTTCATAAAAATATCCCAAGATTTATAGTAACATTGGAAAAAACAACAGAAAAAGAGAACAATAATGGTTAAAGAGACCATCAACTGTGTAGGCGTAGTAGTAATTTAACTAGCAACAATAACAAATTCAACTTAATATAGCTAATAAAATTAAAAAAAGAGAGTATGATATAGATGGACTTTACCAGTGAAAAAAGAGCTAGTAAAATACAAACACTTGAACACTTTAAGTTTCTCATGTCTTGACTTTTTCAAAGACACCTAAAATCATTAGACTACAATACATCATTGTGTTAAGAATGTCCAGAATATGTTATTTAACTATTTTGCTTATCATTTTACTTTTATATGCAATATAATTTTTTCAACAAAAGATGTCCAATTAATGTAGCTCCGACCTTGAACTTCATGTTAGATTCTGAAGAGGTGATTAGAGTGTCATAGAGAAGCTTATAATTCGCAAACCATATGGTTGATAAATCAGATAACAAAAACTTATACTAGAAACATAATATTATTATAAGAAAAACTAATATAAAGAAAAATATTGAAACCGTAGAGAGAATAAAATCTCCCCATAAATAAAAGTTTCTAAACGACTATATTGTGGATTCTATTGTTATGTTGTGTACGAAGAAACAAACCTATATTTATACCGTCCTAAAACCTTTTCTTACTAGAAAAGGATTAACTACTCCAAAACTTTAAATAATTATGGTAATACTTTAATTTTCTTCAAGGTAAAAATAAAATTTAAATACGATAAGAAAATCAGGACAATACTCTAATAAAGTACCTCTAACTTTTTATACGATACATAGATTATTTTCCATAGACCGAAGAAATGGTTGGCAGTAATAATTATAAGCAAAGATCCACAAAACCACATTTCAGAATTCTGCATAACAAGAAAAGGACTCTTCCCTCTTTTTACTCCACACTCCACTCCCCCACCTGTTTTCACATTTCATTATTCCAAAGCACACACACATAAAAAAATTAAAGCCCACTCTGGCTGGCTCTGAGACTTAAAAAGAGTAAAAAAAAGAGATGCTCATCTATTTTTATTTTTTATAAAAACCAACACATTACCCTATTATCTCTTATTTTTATTTGTCATGGCCAAAAAAAGCAGAGGAAATCCCAGTATCAAACACACCAAAACCAGTAAAAAAAAAGAAGAAAAACCACATTCATGGGCAGTTGTAAGAAGCCTATTTACTTGTAAACATCTACAAGTGATTACAAGACCAGATCATAGCCAACAACAAGTAATACTAAAAGAAGAGAAAAATTCAAAAGTTCAACATGAAGGTGAAAACAACAAGTGCAAGAAATTGAAGTGTTCTGGCTCTATATGTAGCAACACAAAGGTCATGCATAGGTCTGAGCCATCGCCATCGCCTCCCAAAGGGCGTAAATTAAATGGCACTAGTAGTTTTTCTTCTGCTTCTTCGTCTTCATTACTCTCAACTACTTCACCAGCTACATCGTCCTCGATTAGAGGAATGCCATTTAGGAAACTTTCAGGTTGTTATGAGTGTAGAATGGTTGTTGATCCAATAGCTAGGGATCCTTCTTTGAGATCAAATATTTGTGGTGAATGTGGACACATTTTTATGAAACTTGAAAATTTGGAACTTCATCAAGCTGTTAGACATGCTGGTATGTTACTACTCCCTCTCTCTTCACTTTTATTTGTCATGTTGTGCTTTTTTTTAAATCAATTTGAATAATTTAAACAAAAAATTTAGATATTCAAAAACTATATGAAAAGTATTATAAATTGCACTTTTTTTTTGCATATGAAAAATAACATTTTAAAAATATTAAATCAAAATTCTTAAAGTTTTACTCTAAAAATAGAAACTATGACAAACAATATTGGACGAAAAAAGTACTTACGACTGCTATCTTCGTTCCATATTAGTTCATCATCATACTAAAAACAGTTATTTCATGTTAGCTGTCCATCTTATTAACATAATATGGATTAGTAAAATTATCTGGTTATTTATGATTTTTGACGAACTAATATGAGATATAGGAAGTATTTCGTTACTAAATTTTTATTTTATTTTAATTTCTCTGTTTCATCAATATTGGTTATTACTTTATTCTTAAAAAGGAATCTCTTTTTCCTCAATTCTTTGGTCAGACTTTTCCATGTAGCCTCGAACTTCATGACCCTTGTCTCCCTCTGGCTGATTGACATATTTTAATATTAATACAATTTTTTGGGTAGGGAGTGAAGTCTAGTCACAATTATTGTTACTAAATATTTCAAATAATATAATGTATAGTACTCATTTCATAGTGTTTAATATAATATAATATCAAATATGTACTTATAATGTCATTTCTTCAAAAATTTTAAGTTATTGTTATAAAATATAATTAAATAATAAAAGTTTATTTTTTTCTCGTAGTTTAAATTTTTAAATGAGATATTACATATTTTAATGGTTCTATCACCAGTTTCCTAGGAAGTCCCTATTAATTACTTCCTCAGTTCACTTTTACTTTTCTGTTATTTCAATAGTATAATTTCACTTTTAACTTTATTTTCAACATATCAAGAACAACCTTTTTTCCATGTTTTACCTTCGGTGTTAATTTTTATCTTCAAGGCATAATACATAAATGTACCCTTTAACTTGATCTCATTTTACGTTTATGTCCTCCAACTTTGGATATGTACAAGTAGACACTTAAACTTGTATAAAGTTGAACAAGTAAACACATGAGTCGTACATAACATAATACATGTAGGACCACGTAGGAAAAAAATAACATGTAGGATGTCATAAAAGACATGTGTGCTTATTTGTTCAAATTAATACAAATTTAAATATTTACTTGTATACACTCAAAGTTAAAGAACATAAATATGATTTAGAGTCAAAATTTATATATTATGCCTATTTTCAAATCATTTTCCAAAACCTAATAAATAATATACATCATTTAATAAGGTGACTGTAATGAAATAGTCATGTTAATCACTATATTCTTAATAAGTATTCTAACTCGAAATGTTACAAGTAAAAGTGAGACACTACCACCACTTAATTCCATATCTCTCATGCTACCCTATTTCTTTTCATCTTTTTCATTTTAGATGTACTCATTCATGATTTCTCAACTAATGAAAGTTCGAGTGTCTTTTGAAAACAATCTTAATAAAGTTCAGACCTTATTTGTGATATTTCACTGAATATATATATAATTGTTGTTATGATATATACAATGGAAAATGTTACTAATAATATTAATTGACAGTATCTGAATTAGGTCCAGAGGACACAAGTAGAAACATAGTGGAAATCATATTTCAATCAAGTTGGTTAAA